GTGACACGTCCAGAATTTGCTGCCAGCATATCGATCATGCGGCCGGGCGTACAGACAATTATCTCGGCGCCACGTTTCAGTTCGGCAATCTGTTCGGAGATGCCGGTGCCGCCATAAACGCAAACCGGCCGCAATCCCAGCGAGCGACTAAATTTGCGTATATCCTTCCCAATCTGCATGCAGAGTTCGCGAGTGGGCGCCATTATGATGGCAATTGCACCATCGCCATCCTCCAGCGACGGCTGGTCCAGAATGTGCCTAAACATTGGTAAAATGAATGCCAACGTCTTGCCACTGCCAGTTTTAGCAATACCTATCAGATCACGCCCAGACATTATCGCCGGTATCGCCTGGCACTGTATGGGCGTTGGCTTCTCGAAGCCCAACTTGCGCAGCACGTCCATCTCTTTCTTGCTAACGCCGCACTGTGCCCACGTCTGCAAGAAGTCCAAATGTGTTTAACGTGTTTAGCATAAGATTCAATTGTGTTTATGTGGACAGCACTTACCTTGATCGGCTTGGGACAGCCCTTGCCCTTGACCTGGACGCCCTCGAGCTCGCTGCGATACTTGTCCACCTCGGAGTTGGTCATGCGCGCCAGTTCGGGCACCTCGACGTAGAAGTTCTTACGGAATGGAGCATAGCTGACAGAGGAATGATCGATCTTGGCCAGCTCTTTGCGATGCTTCATGGCCAGATTGACGGCCGTGTCGCGTATATCCTCTAGCTCATCCTCGCTAGAGTACTCCAGGCTGTCCATGTTCTGTTCAATTAGTTCGCCCTTCTTTACCGTGTTCGTCTTCTTTTTGGCCACGCCCGTCAGTATTACGACGCCCTGCGCCTTGGCAGGACTAACGAAATGATTGACACGGCGCATCTCCCTGTTGACCTCCTGCATGTACGCATCCAGTGGATCGACATCGTCCTCGGGCTCCTCAGCTTCTGCTGCTGCCGCCGGCTCGGTCACCATGGGTGTCTCCTCCTTGGGCGGATCGACTGCTGGCTTTACTTCAGCTGGCTGTTCAACCTTGGATGCCTCCACTTTTAGCTGTACGACCTCGTCTGCCGTTGGCTCCGGTTTGGCTGCTGCTGTCGCAGTTGTTGTTGCAGTTGATGTTGATGTTGTTGTTGTGGTTGCTGCTGCAGTTGCTGTTGTTGTTGTTGTTGTTGCTGCAACAACAGGCGATGTCAGTACCATGCCCAGAACCTTGCTAAAGGTGGGTCGCTTCAACGGCGCAAAATTGGACTCGACCAGATCGTCGTCGAAACGCTTGCGTATGCTATGGAATTTGGATGGCGGCGAATCGGGCTCCTTTTTGCCGACATCAGTGTCTATGATTGGCGCCGGATTGCTGTCATCCTCTTCGGACTCATCCTCGAGGCTCCATTTCTTAGCCGATTTGGTCACTGTTGGCGCCAACGGCGCCTTGACATCTCGCTTGCCGGCCTCCTGCTCTCGCTGTTTGCGCTCGGCACGCCAGCGCTCAATGCGTTCGCGTCGCTTAATCATCTCCTGTTCGAGGCGGCGCTGTTGCTCCTCCTTGTCAATTTCCTCCTCCTCCTCATTGTCCGTGGAGCTGCTGGAGGAGCCAACAGGTATTACTAGAGGCGCAGCTGGCACAGCGGCCCGACGCATATCCAGTTCGCGCTGGCGTTCACGCTCACGCTCCTTATCCCGTTCCCGTTCACGATCTCGCTCCCTTTCGCGCTCCTTATCCCGTTCTCGCTGCCGCTCCCGTTCTCTGTCCCTTTCGCGCTCTCGCTCGCGTTCACGTTCCCGCTCACGTTCGCGATCCTTGTCCTTGTCACGCTCACGCTCCAGCTGTCGTCTGCAAAAGATAGCATTAAGAGAGTTTCTGATATGCTCAACTCAATGAACGCTTACTTGTCCTTTTCGTAATCCTTCGACCTAGAACGCTTGCGTCGCTTCTCATCGCGACGCGGGCCCAGACCCCGATCATTATCCTTGGCCGGTTCCTTGACCCGCTTACGCTCCTCGCGGCCGCTGCGCGAACTGCCGCTCAAACTGCCTCCGTTGCGTGAAGATTTGCCATTGTCGTAGTCGCCGCGCCCGCTGCGACTCTCATAGTGCTTGTCACGTTCCCGCTCCCTATCCCTGTCACGCTCCCGCTCTCGGTCGCGGTCACGCCTGTTAACATTGAAGTTAATACGCATTTTGCCCAGCGCTTTGCTCACTTACCCAGAGTTTTTGGACATGGCCAACGACGCGCTTATTTGTTACTGTTGCGCCCTGCGAAACGCCGGCGGCTCGCCTAATATAAATAAAAGCCTTTAGCTTAACCTAAATTATATCTCTGTATAAGGCAGAATTGTGCAATTGCTTTCAATTAATGCTTCTTTTTTGACTGTGTCGATTTGTTTGCGTTTTCTTAGTAAAAAAAAAAAGTTATGCCTTAAATTTGGCATATAAAAATTGTAATCGTTTGCCCAGCAGGGCTGTATTAGCGGGCCAGGGCTGCAATTCTTTTTTTATAAATAGCGCCTACAGGGCTGCCATACCTTTCGAAACAAAGTACAACATGATGTTTTCATTAGAATACAGTATTACATATGCTTATTAATACTACAAAATTGTAATTTGAGTACGCATGAAGTTTTGCTTGTATACCTATATTTTGTCCATCAAGTCAACGCAATGGGGCCATGGTGGTAAGGCTTTAGCAATTTCGCTGCAGCGTTGCCACATTACACTGTAAAAAGCAAAGCAAGACCGGCTATTTTTGTTTATATTACTATGCAAGCTACTTTGAATTTTTTAAGTTCGTCATATTCGTTATGCCTATTGATAATTGCAAATATGTGAAATAGTATTGAATTGTTTTAATTTGAATTTAAACGAACAGTCAACGCAAGCATGTTATTATTCATTTGCAAATCGATAGTCGAATTGTTACAGGGCTGCAACAAGGTTCATTTTTCTTTCGATAAATTCCGCAAGGTATCGATACCCAGCTATCAAATATTGTTTTGCCTAGTGTCGCACGTGTAGGCGCCAGACAAATTCTGGTAGAAGTCGGCAAGCTGGAAACAATAACTATTTGGATACATTCAGAAAGAAAAAGTTATTGCTAATTATTGGTTTTTTGTACGCTTCGAGCTGGTTTTTATATATTGAATTCACACAAACATCAATGACAATGCTGCCGCAATTTGAGATTATTGTTGGCACCTACGACGAATATCTATTGGGCTATCAAATGGCCTGGCGTCGCGACAAAAAAGGATCGGACAAAATCCAGTTGAAGGCGACCTTTGCCGACAGATCACACGACGGCTCAGTGAAGTGTCTGGCCGTGCACGGACACCTGGTGGCCACCGGCGGACTTGACGATCGCATCTTTGTATATGATATGCGCACACGGAAACAGGCGCACGTCCTTAACATGCACACGAGCACGGTTAATACGCTGGTCTTCACATCGGATGCGTCGCACTTGATGTCGGGCAGCAAGGATGGGCATTTGATAGCCACACGCTTGGCCAACTGGTCAACTGAAGCTGAATGGACCAAGCCCCATAATGGCAAAGCCGTCACACATGTCGCTTGCCATCCGAGCAGCCGTTTATGCCTATCTCTGGGCGCCGATCTGGTGCTGAATACATGGAACTTGATCAAGGGACGCATCGCGTACAGAACAAACCTGAAAAGCAAACGTTCCTTGGGCAGCTCACCCGATTGTCTGGCCTGGTCGGCAGAAGGCAATTACTTTTCCATGGCAGGGCCGGCTACCTTTGAGATTTGGAACATTGGAACAGCCAGCGTGATGCGTCAAATCAAGATGCCATCGAAGCCCATCTGTGCGACCTGGCTGGATGATAAAAACTGCGTGGCGGGCCTCGAAAATGGCACCATCGCTTGGATCTCGTTGGACTCCGATGAAACGGCTGCCGTAAATATCTATTTTATAGATTTCTCGCCGGCTTCAATTAATTTTTCCATTTCTGCTTACAGCCCAACATATTGCCCGGCCACAGCAATCGCGTCAAGGCCATATCCTTCATGCACAACACGGTGGTTAGCATCTCCAGGTGAGTGTTACGGGTTTGACTAACTGACCGACTGATGAACAGCGTCGAGCTGCGGTATTTCTCCGAGAAGGAGGATCCGTTTATTACCTTATAGATGATATTATTATATCCCGAAATGCCTGATGCACAAAAGGAGGCATCTCTGCCGAATCTATGTGGCCATGTACTGGCCTAGCGCCTTCTCTCCGGTTGGTTGAATTCCTTCTTCCGTACCCATTTACGTGTTCACTCGACTTTATATAATCCAACTAAAGCTGGTGATGTGTATTCAAGAGATAATTAAACACTTGCAGCGTCGGCGAGATCAAGGTGTGGAGCTGCGATCTGCCTGGCAAGCAACTGTCGCTAATCACATCCGCAAGCATAGACTGCCGTCCCACCTGTATGTCCCTGCTGGATACAACGCAGTTTAGCCGGCAGCACGAGGACACTCGCGACCGCATTGATAAACAGAAAACAGCCAGGATCGCCGCTCGCATCGAGGCACTGGAGTCGCTAAGGAATCGCAGCTATGTCTCAATTGAATACGATGAGGATGCCGGCGAAACCGATCCGATGTTCGGTCGTGATGCAGACGGCGACAGCGACAGAAATGAGAGTGACGACAACATCCAACAATCGGACTACGACAGCGACGACAGTCTGGGAGAATCGGACACAAGTGAGACCAAGCCCAGGCCAAGGCCCAAACAAAGGCAAGCAAAAGCAGCGCGTGCTCCGCCGATAGCTAAACGTTCGGGAAAGCGTGTGCCCGCCCAGGACAATAGCGAGTCCACCGAAGACTTTATTAGTCTTAGCCCAAGCGAAGAATCTGCGCGCCCTAGACTGGCCACCACGCCCCGCGTACAGAAACGCAATGCGCCCATCGCCAAATCGATTCCGCAGCAGAAACGTTCGAAGCATGCAAATTGAAAGCTGCATTGTGTACATATATCTATTTAATTGGCTAGTTTAGTTTCGTTCAATTTATTTAGTCTGTATTTCTGACACGCACGCCCAATAAATGTCGGCAACGTCGGGTATGGCCCGATGCGTATATTTGCCCAGAAATTGCCGGAATCGCCCATTGTCCAGTACGCACAGTGGTATGTTGGCAGAGCGCAAAGCGGCGCATAGGTCCAGCTGAAAGCTGCGCTCATTTTGGGACGCATCCTCAATGTCCGACACGCCCACAACATCGACAAAGCTATCCGTTTCGGCATTTGTTGTTGTACTGTTTCCCTTTTGTTGTTGTTCGTGTTTTGCTGCCTGGAACTCGTTCTGCATGTGGCCAGAGCAGTGCAAATGCCGCACTAGCTGCACGCGCCGATTGGCAGTTAACTGTAAAAGCAGAACCGTTCTTTTAATATGCACAAAACTGGCGACTTTTTGGGTTTGTTTATTCAAGAGTTACCAATCTGTTGCACAAGGTGCAGTGCATGTAGCCATTGTGGGGCTCGAAGCAATCCTCGCCCAGCTCCGCCTGCCATTTGTACAGCAAATGTGTTTTAGCATTTGGCCTCCCCATGACCTTGAACTGAGCTGCTTGACATGTACATGTGCATGTATGCAAGCATATGCAAAAGGCGCGTGTCCATTTGTACGCATGCCTGCACATGCTTCGTTTTGCATGTGTGCGCGTGCCTTAAGTCACCTGCACATCTTTGAGCTACGGAGCGGGAAAGTACAGTATAGTATATAGAGTGCTGCTTTTCTTACATGCGTCGCACATGAAAGTAGCATGCAAAGCGCCGTTATTTTCGAACTGCGCTAGTGAGAGCGCAACAGACGAAGCTGTGGTGTAAAGCCACGAATTCACCATGGACAGAAATACTCGAGAGAGTGACAGAGCGCGTGTGTTGTAAAGCCCGTGAATATCGTGTGTTGCGCTCTGTGTTGTGTTGCCGAGTGGGCGCAAACTAACGGTTTCTTGACAGAGGTGCTTGCTGCTCTGCTCAGCTGCATTGCAAACTCTTGCTATTGAACAAGAGAGAAAGAGAGAGAGAGAAAGTCGCCGAAAGCCGCTGTGCTCTGCACGCGCAAAGTAACGGCTCTTTGACAACTTTGTCTCTTCGTGCGCAATGGACCTAATGCATTTGCATTGTGGCCAACAAATGCTGCTCAGCGAATTTACAATTATCCTGCAGTGTGGCAACACTTTTCGATATACATACATAGGTAAATACATAATTGTTTGTCCAGCTTATAATTGAGGTTAGAAAACTGTCAAAGCGCTTGTCAAACGAGATTTTCATTCGATCCATTTTGCAAGTTATTCTGGCAAAGACAAAATTTGACTTTGTTAAAGAAAAAATAAATCCTTATCGAAAACTCATCGAACAACTTGCAGAAAAACCAAAGGTTTCTATAACACATGATTTTCCGACATGGTCTTTTCGTTCTGTTCATTTTTAGCACTTCTTAGTTTCTTTCACATTGTTGCAGATATGGTTTGGCCATCTGGAAATGATCCATTGCCAGCAAATGGCAATCGTAAGCGTCTTGCCAATAACAATCAACCCGTTCTGATTGTAGATCTATCTTATAATCCACGTCGTCGCTCCGCTGGCGCACTTGAGCCGGACCGCATGCATCGCCCATTGCCGACATTCGCCAATCTCCCTGAAGACGATAACGATGCTCCAGAGCCAGCACCGGCACCAGCTCCGGCCCCGGCACCAGCTCCCGCCCCGGCACCGGCTCCTGGACCGCCGCCCGCACCGGCCGCTGCTCCCGCTCCTGCTACTGATCCGGCTCCAGCTCCGCCTATCGCTTCCGTTTTTGCCACGCCTTTGGCTCGCGCTTTGGATGCTTGTTCTGCACCGGCTCCCAGCCTAGCATCGGCTCTCCATCCAGCCTCAGGACTATCTGCAGGACCCGCCTCAACTGCCGCATGCACTTTGGATCCCCCTTGCGCCTCGGCTCCACAGCGCCATGATCAAAATAAGCCAAGAGGTCGCGACATCACCGCCAGCGATTACGGCGACGAGCCGTCACACAAGTGTCCCATTTGCCTGGAGAGCGTGTCCGGCCGCCAGCCGGCGACGACCTCGTGTGGGCACGTCTTCTGCTATCCCTGCATCCTGGCGGTGGTGCGCGTCAGCCGCAAGTGCCCCGTCTGCAGCTATACATTGGCCACTCGTCGCTCAATTAAGCGAATATACATCTGAGCCGTCGTGTCCTCGAGCAGTTGGAGAGTAAATGAAAAAACATCATACAACAAATATTTCAACAGCTTCAACTATTTGGCGGCTGTTGTACTAAATAAATAACATGCTCTCCGGAGAGTCTAAACACGATTCGATTCTCAACCCTGAGTTCCAAATTGACAAAAGGTGGCATCACTGTCGAACTGTAAACCTTTATAGGGCGACCTTCCCGATCCTACAGTTATATATATATCGGTCGGATCGAAAAACTATATCATTAAGCTGATCATACAGGATTTTCTCAATATCCGATTACTAGATCATATATGTAGCTCTAAAAGGAAGAATATGTTGAATCTGGAACTATTTTCGATTTTTCTATATTTTTTCTTTTACCAAACCAAACAAATCCTTCCATCTGCCAGGCCACAAGTCATGTGACTACAAGTTCCCTGCCCACACCTGAGTTTAGCCCTGATTAGTAAGGCAAAGCCTCATGCGTCATGTTGAGCTTACTGTGGTGAATAGTCAAATGAACGAGCGAGAGCGTGTGTATGTGTGAGAGAGAGAGAGAGAGAGAGAGACGTCTGTCCAAACTGTTGTAATATAGGAAACACCTCGGTTTGAACCATTTTTCAAGAACCGGTTCGGCCTAAGAGCGTATTTTGCAGCCTTGATTAAAACAATCCTTTTTTTTTTTATGCCAAAAAATTGCTTATCGATCGCTTGTTTTATTACTTGGTACTTGGTTAATTAATGATTAGTGATAACATTTTTGTTTTTGGTTTTTTTTTTTTTTTTGTGATTTTTTAACAATCTCTATATGCATATACAATATGTTGGGGGCGGTTGGGGATTGGGTACAGGTAATTGTAAGGGCAAGGGGATTGGGGAAAGGCACTCGCCCAGGAGCTGATGCAGCCGGCGGAATCGGGGGCCACAGCAGCCTTTTTGGCGAACGCCCCACCCCGCCGCCCCCTTTTGTGGGGAAAAAAACAATTAATTTAATGCGGCAACATTTCTTCAGCTTCAGCGGTGTGAATTTTGGATATTGGATGGAGAATATTCTGGATGCCAAGGTACAACAGGTTAACAGGATGCGAAGATGCGGTGCGTGGTGTGCCTGGTCGGTCGGTGTGTGCGTGTGCCGTGTGTGCCTCAATGGGCCAGAAAATATTGAATCAGCTTGAGGTAAATGCGTTCCAGCAGCGGCCACATGTGCTCCACAAGCAGCTGGAGTATGTGCCTCAGCGGCGGACACAGCGTGCACATGTAATCCGTAATGGCATCCAGCACACGCACCACCAAATGTCAGTTATTCCGCTCGAGTTGTATGTAGTAGCCGCTGCCAATGCTGCTGCTGTTGGTATTGCTGGAGCCGCTATCCTTGTCCTTGTCCTTGTCCTTGTCCCTGTCGCTGTTCCTGTCGTTGTCCTGATGCTCCGCCTCGATCGGATAGCAGCCATCGGAGCGCTGCATGCAGCCATGTGTCCAGGCCATCGGCTCCTGGAACTTGTCCAGATGCGCCAGATTCTGATAGGCATAGAGCAGCGGATGATCGATATAGGCGCTGCACTCGTAGCACCACACGGATAGATCGCTGAAGCTCAAGACCAGCGGATGCTTGGCTCGTCGGCAATGCTGTTCCATGTGCTCATTGATATAGCGACCGCAGCCGATGCTCTGGCAGCTCAGGCATACCCAATTCTCCACCGTTGAGGCGCAGTCGCCGCATGCGCCGTTTGTTTTTATTGCTGCACGTTGAGGGGGGCGTGGCGCGTTTGGGGGAGTTGGGTGGTTAAGATAAATAGATTAATATATGGAAATTTCTTGGATTATGTGTAGCACAGAAAGCACGCAATATTTATAACAAGACAAAAAGCCAACGAAAAGCATTTAAACATTGTTCGATTCTGGCAAAAATAGGTCAACTGTTATACAGTTGTTATACTGGAAGCAAGTGCCAGAGAAAAAGAGGAGAAACAGATGAAAACAGAATAAATACAACGAAAGAAAGGCGTTCACAATTTGCGGTGTTGGCGATTTAAAACTGTTATACTGTTAGGCGACAGCTACACTGTTATACGACCGTTATAAATGATGATTTTCGCTTCATGCAAAGCAATTGTTTTTAACTGTTATACAACTGTTAAGCAACAGACATGCATGCACTCATACTGTTATACCGTTTATGTAACTTTTGTATTGCTCTCAAAGCTGTTATACATTATTTAGCTATTTTTATAACATTGCTATCATACAACTGTTATACATATGCTGCATTGCTGCCGCACAGCTTCTATATCTTTTTATAACAGCTGTTGTATTGATTTAACACACCTAAAAACATGTAAAAACTGTTATACCGTTAAGCGTTTTTCTAACTGTTGCATTCTTGTCATCTAGCTATACTACACAACTGTACTTATGTGGGGTTTTCTATAAAGCTCTATCATAGACAAGATCAGTAAAAAAAAAAGAAGAAAAAACAAACAAGAAGAAGATGCAAAACACAAGCACAGCCACAAGCGAGAATTAACAAAGCAAAAAGGAAGAGAGAGATAAACATATATGGCAAGAGAAAGACAAAAAGAGAGAGAGAGAGAGAAAGAGGCAGAGCGAGAAGTGCATATTGGGGTTTAGCTTACATTTGGGCACCTCCTCCGGACGCAACAGGCTCAAGTGTGGGCAGCTTTTGAGGGGATAAATGGCAAACATTTCCTGCTGCTCGAGCGCCTGGCAAGAGCAGGCCAATAAGAAATGTAGCAGAGAGAGAGAGGGAGAGGCACACAGTGGGGTAACGAATTGACAGGGAGAGAGGGTGGGAGAGAGAGAGAGAGTGAGAGAGAGACATGAGATTAGAGTGTTTGCTAAAAAAAACTGTTTATGTGTGAGTGCAAAGGCAATATAAATATTAAACCGCTTGATCAGTGTTGCCGACTTAGCTGTTTTCTAGCCAAATTCGGCTATTTTCCCATATAATAATAATAGCTAATTCGGCTTGAAAGTAAGCTGAATTGCTGGCAGCTGCAAATTTAAACAGTTTTAGACAAGACATATCTAAAACTAAACAATTTCAGCTAAAAATAGTTTGATTTAGCTATAAATTAGCCGAATACAGCTTTCAAATAGCTGATATTAGCTATGAAATTAGCCAAAATCAGCTCAAAATTTGCCAGCTTTTGCTAGAAATCAGTCAATTTCTACAAATATATATATATTAAGCATTAAGTAGCCTTATTTAGCTACGCTGTGAAATGGTCCAAATCAAACCTTTAGCTAGAAAATAGTCATATTTAGCTCTAAATGAGCCAATAAATAGAACTTTGTTTTTTTATGTTTGATGCAGCTATAAACTATGCAAAAAGTAGCCAGATTTAGCTAGAAAATGGCAACAACGTGCGTTATTCGACTTGGTATTTATATTGTCTTTGATATTTGTGTGTGTGTGTGTGTCTGTGTGTGTGTGTGTGTGTGTGTGTGTGTGTGTGTGTGTGTGTGTGTGTGTGTGTGTGTGTGTGTGTGTGGTGGTCAGTTGCTCGTACCTCCTTGTGCTCGGCCATAAACTCGCTGAGCGTTTTTACCTTGACTTTGGGCTTGCTGCCGCTGGGCCGGTCCTGGCCGGGATCGGGCTGTGCGTCGATATCGCCGCCGGCGGCGCCGAGTGGATCGTCATTTGATATACTCAATCGGTCCATGGTAGCAGCAAGAAAATCCTCGTTATTGTTTTCGCCCAAAACGAATTGGGGCAGCTTGCAGCCAAAGACGAGCGACTTCCAATGATGACGCTGCTGTTCCACGCACAGCTGCAGCGTCTCCACGCAGCTCTGGAAGGCCACCGTCGGTGAGCGTTGGTGTGCGGTCGTTGCGAATTGGGGCGTCGGCACCGGATCGCCCAGCAGCGTTTTAGTGCACATGGTCATCGCATACGATATGGAGTTGACATTGTAGCCGCCCTCCAGGCAGACGATGATCCGACCGCCGGCCAAGGCCGACAGCCAATGGGTGAACAGGCCGTAGCCCTCCGGTGTCACCTTGCAGCCGCCCAACGGATCCCCAATGGCCGCATCGAAGCCGGCCGAGACGAGCACCAGCTGCGGATTGAACTCGTAGGCGATGGGCAGGATTAGCTGCTGAAAGGCCAATGCGTACTCCAGATCGCCCATGCCCTTCTGCAAAAGTCAAACAGGTAAAGTAGAGTATGCGATTTTAAGTTTCCACTTATATTCCAGTTTCTTCTTGAGGAGCGATTAGATGGAGCGCATGGAGCTGTCGCACTCACCTTATTCCAGGGAATATTGACATTGAAGCCACGGCCGGCATTCTTGCCCACGACATCGTAGTTGCCGGCGGGACCCTTGGGAAAGAAGGCGCCATGCTCGTAGCGATGAACACTTATGTAGAGCACCTTGGGATTGGACTCAAAGATGTGCTGTGTGCCGTTGCCATGGTGAACATCCCAGTCGACAATGAGGATGCGCTCGAGTGCATATTCCCGTATCGCATACTGGGCCGCAATGGCCACATTATTGAATATGCAAAAGCCGTGCGGCTGATCCGGTTCGGCGTGATGGCCCGGCGGTCGAACATTGCAGATGCCGCTGCGGGATTGGCCGCGCAGTACGCTATCGACCGCCTGGAGTACGGCGCCGGAGGCTAGTATGGCGCACTCGAAGGTGCGCGGATGCAGGTACACCGAATTGTAGCCGGCGCCCACTTGCTGCAGTTCCTCAACGCTGCGACCCAGCAGGCGACGCACCGAATTGACATGGGCGCGCGTATGGGCCAGGCACACCTCGTCCGTGGTGGCGGCGCGCGCCGCCAGCTGCTGCATCCGATCCAGCAGCTGATAGTCCTCGTGCATCTGATGGATCTGACGTATGCGCATCGGCTGCTCCGGATGGGTGGCATCGTGCAAATTGAAATGCTGCAACATTTGGGCATCGTAGGCATAACAAACACGCACCGGCGGCACCGACAGCTGCGTCTCGGCGCGCAACAAACTCAAACGGGACGCATTGCTGGCGACAACAGCGGCACTCAGCTGGGCGGAGGTGCCGCGCGTCGGATAGCGCTGATCTGGCGCTGGCGGCGGGCCGCCCAGCCAAATGCGCTGCACGCGATGCAACGGAATCGTGCTGGCCGACTGCAGTTCGCCGGGCGTATAGGTCTGCTGCAGCTGCAGGCAGCGCCAGTACGGACGATGCACATAGATGCAGTTGAGCAGGGCCTCGCGCAGCACCGGGCTGGGCAACTGCAGCGGCTCCACCAGCGCCGGGCACGGATCACCCAGCAGGGCGCGCAGCGTCAAGGCGGCGCCCTCGGACAACGATTCCACACAGTAGCCGCCCTCGAGCACAACGGCAACACGGCAATTGGCCAAATGCAGCAGCGGATTGAGCAGATGCGGATAGCAGGCGGGCGTCACCTCCATCTCACCCTCCGGGCAGCCCAGGGCCGCATCATAGCCGGCCGAGACAATAATCAGCTCCGGCTGATATTCCATGGCAACCGGCAGCAGCAGCTGCTGGAATATGGCCATATAATCGCCATTGCCCAAGCCCTTGGCATTCAGCGGCACATTGAAATTGTAGCCGGTGCCGGAGCCAGCGCCAATCGCATGGTAATCCGATTCCTGCAGATTCGGCCAGAAGCTGCCGTGCTCATAGCGATGTATCGAGAAATACAAGACCCTGCAAATGGAAAGCGAACAATAGAGTTAGGGATACGCGAGGTATTTGTGTGGAAAACGCACCTGGAATCGTTATAGAAGAAGCGCTGCGTACCCTGGCCATGATGCACATCGTAGTCGATAATCAGGATGCGCTGCAGCTGGTGCGCATCGAGAGCATGCTGTGCAGCAAGCGCCACATTATTAAAATAGCAATAACCATTGAATTCCGACTTCATCGCATGATGGCCCGGCGGTCGTATTATGGCCATGCCATTCTGCGCCTTACCCAGCAGCAGCTGCTCCACCAGCTCTATGGTCGAGCCGCTGGCCAAGAGCGACAGCCTGAACGTGGACTGTCCACATGGACAGAGACAGAGAGAGAGAGAGAAAGAGAGAGAGAGAGAGGAAGCATGAGAAAATATATCCAAGCGCAAGTATCAAATATTAAAAGAATTATATAAATTATGTTTGTTTTAGTTTAAGTTTTAATCTCGGAGTATCTCAGGATCTTTGGCAGTTGGGCCTGGAATATTTGGTATGTGGTTTCTTATATATCCTATGTAGATTATGCTTGCATCATATTCTAAATATGCCCGAAAGTTCTCGAGGAAATTGAGTTTTATTGAAGGTTTATGGCAAAAATCTTTATAAATCTCAGGATCTCTACGTGTAAACTCTGCAACATTTGGTAAGTGCTTTCTTATATACCCTATGAACATTATCATATTCCAATTATCACACAAAGTTATCGGGAATATTCTGCTGAGAATTAAATGTGTGTAGATACATTTTATTCGCAGTCAGATGCCAAATGAAAATATTCTTTAAATATGCATTTTATATTTACGTCGTCTAATCTAGTCTGTGGAATAAATTTTGCAGATTGCAAACGGATTTGTGAAAAATATAATTACAATTAAAATAATTTGTGCAAATAAGAATCAGTTCTGGAATCGGAACCGAAGCATTCTAATTAAATATGCATATCGATTTATTGATAATGTATAGTCAATATATAATAGATGCAATGGGATCGTACAGATCGCAGCTACCATCTAAAATTCATCTCACAGCGGCATAGATAAGCCACACAGATCAGCTGCACTTTGAGTTGGAAATACTTATATATATATATATATATATATATATATGTATATATACGTATATAAACTATCTAATCTTTCTATGTGAAATTTAATTCACGCTCGGTTGGTTTGCGCTTGCAATCGCATTAGAACTGATTGCGTTTGTTTGATAACCGGTTTCAGGCGCAACAACAAACCCAATCTCCAGTTATTTTAATACCCGGAACCCATTTGGCGATCCAAACATCACTCGAAGATTATAGATGCTACATACTGGAAACTTGGTATATACACACTTTTATATGCCATACTTAAGCACTGCAAATTTCATAGATATCGGACTATAGAGACCGAAGTTATTCAAGATGCTGCATTTAGCTATAAATATACATATAGATAGCCCCTCTTACCGGATGTATGTAGATGGCGTCATAATGGGAGCTTAGCTCCTCCATAGCCTCCGCATCGTGCACGGCCGACGTCTGCTCCAGTCGCTCGTAATGCTCCATTGAGTGTAGCTTCAGGATTTCGTCCTTTGTCGCCAGACGGGAGTTTAGCTGCAGGCAACGCTCCACTAGCTTCAGCTCGCGACATCTATACACAGAGAGATTATTTGAAGGATATCGCAATGTGATTGTGTTTGGGTTCCACTCACCGCTCCAGGGTGCGCGTAAAGCGTTCGGGTCGCTCCTGATGTGTGCTGTCCCAGAGGCAGCAATGCTCGCTCATGGTCTCATCATAGATGAGCGCGGTGGGGCCACGATGCATGCTCTTCGCGTTGAGGGCCTGCGAGTCAATGGGGGGGCGGTAGAAGAAAAAGGCTATTTCCATTAAGAAGGCTATAAACAGCGACGACTTCGCTCAATTGCACGGGAAACTCGCCGATGAATGCGACTTGGTTAAATGCGATTTATCGATTTTAAAAATCGATAAACGATTGCATGCTTCTAAATGTTGTTTACGTACAGCTTCCAAAGCAAGTTTCAGTGCAATTGATTGAAAAATAAACACAAACGTTTGAGCTGTGTACTGATCAGTCAGTCAGTCAGTCGGTCAGTCAGTCGGTCAGTCAATCGTTATCGATAGATTGCACATGTACTCACATTCTGAAAGATATCGATAACTGGCTCCAGCTGGGCGGCTGTGCCGTTGTTCTGCGATTTGAGCATGTTCCGCGCCCGACGTTTTGCCTCCTGAAGCGCTGGACTCGGTTTGCGTGGACCGCAGCTGCCGGCGCCGTTGCTGCTGTTGGCGTTCGGCCCCGTCGCTGCGTTCGCTGCTGCTGCTGCTGCCGCCGCCGCCGCCGTCGCCGATGACGACGACGTCGACGTCGACTTCGACTTGACCATGGCGCGAGTTTGTATTTTGGCCTGTTGTGCGCCTCGTCGCGTTACGATCGGTGAGCTCTGTGAGAGAATCAAAGTGTGAGTGTGAGAGACGTTTAAGAGAAAGGCAGACAGAGAGGGTCAGAGAGAGAGAGAGAGAGAGGGGGGGGGGGAGGGTGTAGGGAGTTGGAGAGAGGGGAGAGAGAGAGAGAGAGTAGGAGCTAGAGATTTGATTTGTTTTTTTTTTTTTCCTGCTAGAGATAAGTGACGGCAAACAGGAGCCTCTCGAATTAACAGTTTAAGACGTTGGATTTTCATAAACTTAAAAATAGAAAATGTAGAACTGAGAAATTTGTTTGCTTAACTGAGTTCCTTTCCGTTGGAATTGTAGGCAGCCACTAGAGTGGATGAGTTTTTTAGACAGTCAAATGACTGATTACTACAAATATATAAAGTACACTGAATTATCATCGGGACAGCAAATACGATGGGTACTACGCCAGCTGACATGGGGCTCTATCGATTTTTAAAACCCATCAATATACAACAAGAAAAAACGAAATTTAAATTAATAATGCATATGCAAATGTGGGGGAGCTTCACAAGCTGTTGAGTCATTCGAAATGTTATCGATAACCAGGGATTAGGTTGATTATAAAAAGGGTTTCGATAAACAGTTTGTACGTATGTATGCATGCGTGCATGCATGTGTATGCCTATGTGTGCATGCATGCATGTGTACATACATACATATATAGTTTGCATGCATGCTTGTATGTATGCCTATATCTACATAAATGCATGTGCATGTATGTACATATATGTGTATACATAAGTGTGCCTACATGTATACTGCATAAGTGTGCATACATGTGTGTGCATTTACATACATATACATACATAGTTTGCATACATGTTTGTATGCATATATCTACATAAGTGCAAGAGTTATATGTACATGATTGCATGTATGCATGACCCTGCATGTGTGCATGTATGCATGCACATCCGCATGCTTACATGTATACACACACATGCATATATTATTGATCAGTATATATATATATCTATATCGCATCGATAAAGACCTATCCTCTTGTGTATTTTCATAAAACCTGGTCTCATTGGTTCATATATCTATACATATTTAAATTTGCAAGGGTATTTAATCTTCGACTTGCTGTGAATCATATCATTGTCAGCAAAAAGAGTTTGGATTTCCTGTTAGGAGCTCAAGTCGCACTCGTTCTTCCCACGCTCGAAGACAGAGAAACAACAAGTGACCATTCGAATAGTTTACCAGAGAGAGAGAGAAAGAGTTTACAGTGGTCACTCGCAATTTTAAAATCAACAGGGAACAATGTATACAAATTTCCCAAAAGGGACATTTTTTTAATGACATATTTCCATTATAGATTCATTACGAATACCAAAAGATTATTTGCATATTATGCTGAGCAAAGCATTTTATGCTAAGTCAAAACCTAAATTTAAAATTTATTGCGGCATTTGATTTTCATCGCTTGATGATTCACACAACTTCAGGTGTTCCCCCAAATGAAAATGTCCTCCAATGCACACATAAATTAAACACGGGGCAATTTTATTTTACCTAATTCATGTGCTCATGCGCTTATCTAAATTAAAGGTGAACTGCATGGCCAGCGGGACGCGGAGGGGTATGCATACATACGTACAGACACACACACACATGTAAGTGTATTGTAATCAAAATGGGTCACGCTTGTAAAACAAAAGTGGTGAATTTTCTAACATCCTGAGGCACCCTGTTTAAATGCACTACACGCTTTTGATAGACTGGTAGACTACGGCTGCTGTGATGAGTAATCAATTAACCGTTTATACTGAGCTATAATTTGTGTACTGTCCAAAAACAAGAGCAATCACAAGGCACATACACAGATGCAAATAATGCTGCGCTTAATTAAAAACGAAAAACCGTTGGGCAACAAATCAGCGCGTTAACTGAAAACGAATTTGATGTTTTTGAATTCAAGCGAGGCTGCGCCGCCAACGGCGACTGCGTCTGTGTGGGTGTTGTTGCTGCCATTGCCGCATTTGGTGTTAGTCTAAAAAGGCGCGCGACGACGTCAGCTGCAAACTTACCATGATTATCTCTCTTGTTGTTTTTGTTGTAGTTGTTGCTGCTGATGCCGTGCAAGCTTAAGCCGAAGTTGAAGCTTAAAATTGACGCGGGGATTTTGCGCTCACACACTCTCTTGCTCTCACTCTATCTATATATTCGTTAAGTTGTTGTTGCTGGCGCTCTTTTGCTCTTGTTTTGAAGTGGGCGCAACAATGCGTGCGTGCGTTCGTCCGTGTGGGTCGTCGTTTCTTTGTATTGGTATGTAATACTTTTTTGGCTATTGTTGTTGCTGCTACTGTTGCGTGATAAGCACAACTCGGATTTTCGCAGCGTATTGATTTGAATTTGAACTATAACTTGGTATCTTATAATTAGCTTAAATCTGGTGCAGTATTTATTATTGCTTCAATGTGATTATTTGCTATCTCGCTCGCTTTCACGCTGCGCCAGTTTTCGCCTGCCCTGCTGCCTGTCCGTCTGTTTCTCCGTCCGTCCGTCCGTCCGTCGGTCTGTCTGTCTGCCTCGTCTCTGTCCGTCTCTACTGCCGTGCCTGTCGCGCTTCAGTTGATTTTATGCTGAGTGCCTATTGTTGCTTTTTTTTTGTAAATATAAATTATACCTATGCACATGCTTTAGTCGCGTTCACTGTGTTGTTGGTGTTTCTGTTAGTTACACATTAGAAAAGTTTCAAAACAAAAAAAAAAATACTGTGGATTCACATGGGCGCAACGTTAGAAAAAATTAATCAACGCTGTTCTTGCGCGTACACACACACACACACACACACACACACAAGGCCAAGACGACGCGATGGCTGGATGCAACGATAATTGGCAACACAGCAGCGGGCTAGAAACGGAGCCAGAATCAGAACCAGAACCAGGAATTTGAGAGCGAATGCTTGTCGGTTAGCGCGCGGGCGGGCGGGCGGTCGGTCGGTCGGTTGGCGGCAGGCGGCAAAGTAGTGTTTGTCCGCCGTCTGCTTTTGTTATTGTTTTGCAGTTACAAGAAGTGTGTGACCGTCTACCGCAAATGCTCAAATACCATAAATATACTAGAAAACATGTTGTGAAGTTCGCTACGTTTATTTAAATTGAATATTATGCATTTGGGCATATTTGTTGTGCTTTACAGGTATCATATATTCGGATGGCAATTGTTTTTATTTTTTGGGTTTTTTAATTTTTACTCACATTACCATATATTTAATATTCAAGAGTGACTCTACACATATTCCGAACAAATATAGCTTTGTCTTAAAAAATACTAAATAGCAAATCAAACATATTTTTACTCCGAAAGTATACTGATCTGTCATGAAAAATACTAAGTTCAAAAATGAAACTAAACCATTTTTTGCAATGATTAACAAAAAATTTAATCCAAGATAAACCGGAATCGTTTCTAGCCGGCAATTGAAAACAGAGTATTAACAATTCTGTCGTATTCTTTATTAAAGCAACGCACGCATAAAAACCCAATGACAAGCAAAAATACTAAAACTGCATTAATTGGCAACACAAAAAAAAAAAACAAAAAAACACGAACGGACACGAAAAGCTTGCAAGCAAGCGACTTGCCATTTTCCACTTTACACTTTCCAACACTGTCCGCAACAGCTGCTCACACGCCATCGGCTCGTTACGCAAGTGGATAGCAACAGGTTCTCAGCCTCAATATTATTGGAAGTGTGATCAGGTCCGGTAGTAAAATTCCAGTGATCGTTCGATACTAGCAGGAAGTCGATTATATAAATCTAGTGCCATGTTGCAAGCAACCAGAAGCCAGCTGTGCGCCCAGGCGCGTCGCTACAGCTCAAAGATCAGCGATGTTGTTGTTGTGTCCGCCGCACGAACACCGATCGGCAGCTTCCAGAGCCAGCTGGCGCCGCTAACGGCCTCACAGCTGGGCGCCACGGCCATCGAGGCGGCCATTCAGCGTGCCGGCATTGGCAAGGGCGATGTCAGCGAGGTGATCATGGGCAATGTTGTGTCCGCCGGACTCGGCCAGGCGCCGGCACGTCAGGCAGCCATCTTTGCCGGCCTGCCGACCAGTGTGTGCTGCACCACCGTCAACAAGGTGTGCTCCTCGGGCATGAAATCAATAATGCTCGGCGCCCAGTCGCTGATGCTCGGCCAGGCTGAGATCGTTGTTGCCGGCGGCATGGAGTCCATGTCGAATGTGCCATACTATTTGAAGCGCGGTGCCACGCCCTATGGCGGTGTCAATTTAACCGATGGCATTGTGTTCGATGGCCTCTGGGATGTGTACAACAAGTTCCATATGGGCAACTGTGCCGAGAACACCGCCAAGAAGATGCAGGTGACACGCCAGGAGCAGGATGCCTTTGCCATTGAATCCTACAAGCGTTCGGCCCAGGCCTGGAGCGATAAAATCTTCGCCAATGAAATTGCCCCGGTAAAGATTCAGCTTAAGCGCAAGCCGGAGCAGATCATTGCCGAGGATGAGGAATTCAAGCGCGTCAATTTTGAGAAATTCGCCCAGCTCGCGACGGTGTTCCAAAAGGAAAATGGCACCGTTACCGCCGGCAATGCCTCGACCCTGAACGATGGCGGCGCCGCTGTCGTCCTGATGACCGCCGAGGCGGCCAAGTGTGCTGGCCTCAAGCCATTGGCGCGCATTGTCGCCTTCCAGGATGCCGAGACGGATCCCATTGATTTCCCCATTGCGCCAGCATTGGCGGTGCCCAAGCTGCTGGAACGTGCCGGTGTCCGCAAAGAGAATGTCGCCATGTGGGAGATCAATGAGGCATTCTCTGTGGTCGTGCTGGCCAATATACGCAAACTGGACATCGATCCGGCTAAGGTGAATATTCATGGCGGCGCCGTCTCCCTGGGCCATCCGATTGGTATGTCTGGTGCCCGTCTGGTCACCCATCTGGCGCATGCCCTCAAAGCCGGCGAACTGGGCTGCGCCTCCATATGCAATGGCGGCGGCGGCGCCTCCTCCATTCTGCTCGAGAAGCTCTAAGCTGGCGGAAACAGCATGAAAACCAACAACTACAACAAGAGCAACAATTAAAGCCAGAACTGCATTTATTCAAATTATTAATCGATGACGCCAGCTATCGTTATCGTTATCGTTATCGAACATTAAAACTGTTTTTTTACTCTCATTTTCTCTGAAAAGATGAATTTTTGTCTATTATTTGTGTAGCATTTAATCGAAAACTTTGTGATTTGCAAAATAAACTTTAAGAATTGCATAAAAACAAATGACTTAAATGGTCATCGATGTTAGCTGTTATCGTTATCGAAAATTTGGAATACGCTTCCGCCTTTTGAACTGTTTGCATTAAGTGAAATTTTCAATCGATGACGCCTGTTATCGTTATCGTTATCGAACATGAGAACTTTAAGGTGAATTGCATAAAAATAATTATTATTATAGCTGTTATCGTTATCGAACATGTTAAATATGTTTTGACCTTATTGAAAGCTGGAAAGTTATCGCTATCGGACATTTTAGAGCTGTTTGTCATCTCACTCTTTCTGTCAGTTGCCGTTCCAATTGCACTTCCAGAAACGATTAATACCAACAACGATAACAGATGTTATCGATATCGTACAGTTGAAAAAACAGTGTGGCCCTCTCGTTTTTTTATTTTTTTTTTTATTTTCACTCGTGAGCACTTTGTGAATTGGACATTAAATGAAATTGAGCCTCGCCGACTATTGGACGTGACGCCGGCGCGCCGAGAGCAGCTCCCAGATGAACACGAGCGTGGCGAGGGCATAGAGCACGCCCACAATGATATAGATACCCCAAAGATCGGGCTGGCGCAGCCGATTGTCCCGATACATGAATGTGCTGCGAAAATAGCGCTCGCTGCCCAACTGGCCGGCCCAGTAGTTGATCAGGCCGACCGCCTGAATGGACATGATGAGCTCATCAAGCCGCTGCACCAGATGCGAATGCTTCTGCAGATAGATGGCCAGCTGCTGCTCGAGCACATGCTGCGGCAGCATATAGTAGGCGCCCGGCTTGTGGGCACGCTGTGCCGCATGCAGCAGGGTCTGGCGCGATAGTATGCCAAAGATGCGCCGCTGCGTTGTCCGCGACTCGACCTGCTCCAGGACATCGTGCTCCACATCGCTTGCAAGGACAATTGCACGCATATTGCTCAATAGCACCTGGAGGCTGCTCACCTCGCCCACATCCTGGGCGGTAATGCGATTCATCACAGCCGTATAGCCGCCCTCCATTAGCTCGAACAGATTGCGGGGCAAACGCTGATGCACCTGCTGGCGCAGCATATGATAGAACAGAGCCGAGTACATGGCGCGCACGAGCAGCGTGAAGCCCAGCCAATTGATGTAGACCAGCTGCTGGGCGGGACGCAGGCCGGACGCGATAATTGGCTGGCCCCAGGCAATCGCCAGCACGGCGAGCAGCATTGTCGCCCTGGCGACACGTCGTCGCGTGCACAACATGAGACAGCTGACGCCCAGGAAGCTGGTCAGCACGCCCAGCCAGGCGAGCGTCTGGAAGGGAAAACCCAACAGCTCAAAGCTGGTCAAATTGTGCGCGTTCAGCGACAGGCAGCCGATCAACCGGCTGGAATAGTGCGGAAAGACGGCCGTCAGATTGGCGGCATGCTGCACACGTTTGCGTATATATCCAATGGCCAGGTGAGCGCGTCGCTGCTGCAGCTGCACAGCATTCCATTTGAGTATTGTCAAAGTCTAATCTTAGTTCGCACATGTATAGCACTCACCAGCTGCAGCATTTGCGGCTCCGTCCAGGATCCGTTCTCCACCAGTTGCACGGCGAAATTCATGCGTCTGGCCAACTCCTGCAGCAGCCGATCCTCCAGTCCGGGCTCACTTTTGCTAACGCTCAGAAACGGCGACACGGCACGCAACAGCACTTGCAGCGGGCAGCCATGCAGATTGTGCAGCTTGGCCGGAAAATATACCGGCTGCTGCCAGGCGACGCCCATAAATCGATTGATCTGCTGGCCCAGCACCGTGTCGCAGTGTGTCGCCGCATACGGAAAATAGGTGTGCATCAGCACGTCCCCGCCGCTACTCTGGGTCATCACATTGCAGTTGAGCAGCTGATGGCGCCAGCAATACTCGAACACGCCCTGCAGCTCCAGCGGCAGCAGTGCGTCCCGCTGCTGTAGAAAAATGAAGTAATACTCGCTGCCGTCGTGCCGGCCCGTATACGTGTGGATCTCAATGTCTCTGCCAGAGAGAGGGAGAGAGAGAGAGAAAGAAGGAGAGAGTCAGAGAGTGGGCTAAATATCAGTCTATGCGAGTTAGTCCCAGAACTCAGCTAGGCTGAGCCTGGCCAAGGCCTGACGCATCGCTGGACACGAGTGTATGTATATATAAACAAAAGAAAAGGTATATTTCCGATTTAGCAGTTTATTGTCGTTGCAGACGTGCACGTACAGCAATGCCTGGAGCGAATCCACCAGCAGCAGATTGTGTAAACGTGGACCGGCAATGCGTTGCGGCTGTGTGTGATTGTAATGGATCAGCTGTAGGATCATAGTGTCGACGCTCTCGTACAGCAGCTGCATTATGTTGCGATAGAAGTTCATGGGGCTGGGACGGCGGCACGAGATGATCAGCATAAATGATGGCGCCACACGCTGATAGAAGTCCTCGATGAAGACGCGCAATGCGCTGGCCACAAACTGATTTATTGCCGCCGACTGGGTCTGTGCGCCCCGATAGTCCATCGACTCGAAGTGGAGCAGCCCGCTGATGTTCATCGTGCGGTGCTTTATGCCCGAAAAAAGTCGGATAACTGCGGACGCGCAGCCAGAACAAATGACATTAGGAGCTTGGGTCAGGAGTAGCTCTCACATCCGCAACAGCTGAGCAACTGGGCCAGGCCTTCACATCTCACACGCCCGATTACACCCATATATATATATATATACATATGCGTATACACTATATACTATATACGTATACCCTAACTGTATGCTCATTATGCCTAATTGTGGCACAAAGTCAACAAA